TAGGCGCCACATGTCACCAGGTCGAAGTCACGAAGACGGGCGTGGCGCATTGGATCGAGGACGCCGTATGGATCGGTGGGTGACAAAAGGGAGCGGTGGTTGAAGTGGGCGTGTGGTTCTCTCCAGGCTTTCCGGCTAGTTGAATGGGGACCCGACAGGAAAACACCAATCTGTCCTGCTAGTTTAAATTTGGAACCAAGGAAAACACCACTTGGGTGGACTTTGGGCGTGTGGTTCTCTCCAGGCTTTCCGGCTAGTTGAATGGGGACCCGACAGGAAAACACCAATCTGTCCTGCTAGTTTAAATTTGGAACCAAGGAAAACACCACTTGGGTGGACTTTGGGTGCCGCTTGAAGATTTGACCGGTCCACAAGAGGGTCCGTGCATTTGACAACCACAGGTGTGCTTTGAATAGTGAGTTTGGCTGAAGTTAGATGGGTTCGGCTGGTTTCCGTGAAAAAAGGGTTCCAGTTTTCGACCCGCAAGGGACCCCCTGGGTTTCAGTCTGGGCCAAAACTGGAACGGTTGTGATCATCTGCCATGGTTTCCAAATGACACCTGACACCGAACCGCCGACTGCAAAACGCCGTGTGCCAAGGCGTGCTGGAGTTTCCCCTATCCTGTCCCACTAAAAGTCCGAAGGTCTCGAGGCAAACGATGCCTTGTGAAAACTGGGGACTGGGGTCCTGTGACTTTTTCAAAGTCATTCGGGGGTCCGGATCCCAATTTTGACGCATTTAGTGAGTCGTCAAGTTGTAGTTCGCCCTGGGTGAAGCGACTGGTTCTCGTTATGTCGTAGGCAAATGAGTTGCCAGGAAGGCGCCCATGCAAGCGGATGACGAGAAGAAGGTTCTAGGTGCCCCAGTAGTGCCCTTTCTCACCCCTTTTCTGGGGGAGGGTTCCCTTACTAAAATAGGCTACAGCAAAAAGGGTACCCTTATTCTAACCTCTCTGGAGGACCTAGGGTTGGGTTCAAACACAGGTGGTTGGCAAGGGCTCTTGGAAGCATGGCAGCTGACGGAATGGTCTGGGCCTGGAAGACATGCAGTATAATCCGCGTGGCCACAAGGCTTAGGCTGGCAGTTGGCTGGTTCACATTGCCTATGAATTTGCATGTGCAAAGGCGATCCACCCAAGTGTGGGCGGGCCTGTTTTCATACCTTTGGACTTCAAGGTGCATCCTGATGGAACACCTTCTGGCATGAATTCTTAGTGCCGCCGCCTCCATTTGCCATCTTGGACGTAGCCTTTTTTTTGCCGATTTTATGGCCAGCTCACCTGGCGGGGGGGGCAATCAGCTCACCATAGTGCACAGCAACTTCAAAGGGGTAGGGTACTTAGTATGCGCTTAGTAGGTCTGGTTTTAACCCACTTACCATGATTCTATGTCTCTTAAGTGGGTTATATCGAGGCTTACTAGCCACTTACTAAGTACCCGATCGCCCCTTTAAGAAGAGAGACGGATCTATCCAGTCGAGGGGTCAATCGCTAGCTCTATCTGAAGGACTCCCTTCTTTTTGAGGCTTTGCTTGTGATTTTGTCAAGAGTCCTGTAGCTATTTCACGAAAGGTAGCCTCAAGGAGGCTGGCTTGAGTTTGTCCTTGCGTTAGCAAGGCTAGACTGAGGGGGTCTGGGGGTCGGCCCGGTCGCAAAACCAATGAAATATCGGCCCCCCCCGCTCCCCCCCCCCCTTCCCGCCCCCCCCCTTTCCGCCCCCTCCCCCCCGCCCCCTCTTCTTCCTGGTCCGCCCTCCGGCCCCCCCCCCCTGCGTGCCTGATTGGCAGCTTCGCTCCTTTTTCAGCTCTTTTCGCTCGCTTCACTTCACACTTCGGTCCGCTTTTCGCACCGTTTTGCTCGTCAAGTCACGGTGCACCTTGTCCCTTGCTCGCTTCGTCAGTGCCCAATTTACATGGTCAACAAATATCAACAAGCACTGCCCCTTTCGCGGAACGGAAATTGCCCTCTTAACACAGTCAAGCTGCTGAGCTCCATGCGCACCTGAATGGTGTTCCATGCAAGCCCCTGCCTTTCATTAGAGGGACCACTTTACGGCTTCTCAAGTCTGTGTTTACCATGCATTTGTTGCGAACATATGGGACCCTCTCGGTCTCATTAAATCACTTCCAGAAAGGCACCTTCTTCTTTGAACAAAATGGGACTGCCTTCCAAACCAGCTTCCTAGCTTGCTCCCTGCAGTGGATGCTTTGCATGGAAGGGATCAAGCATAGTATTCGCAACCGAAAGCCACTCCGACTTTTGATTGAACTATGGGGGACGTCTCTCGCTCTTTTTTGTGGGGGGTATCCATTGGATTGTCGTTTGTTTGGGCCCATTTGGGCCCTATGGAACTGGGTTGGGTTCCAGAACCCAGACACGGCCAAGAGGCCACGCAGGCGGTTTTTTTGGGCCCGGGCCAACCACAGGAACCCGTCACTTACCAAATGTCCCCCAATTTCTTTGGTTATTTTTTCGGACTTTCGATCTTTGGGATTCGTGTCTGATGAGTTTGTCCGCGTTCCTTTGAATTGTGTTTTTGGACCCTCTCCCATTTGGGGCGGAGTGTCCTTTATTTTTTGTTTTTTGAGAGGGGTTCCCTTTGCCCAGAAATTCCCTTGGTACCTTCAAGAATCCTTTGGTACCTTCTTAGAAGGCACCAAAAAAAACCCTTTGGACTTTAAGAGAAACCAACACCGAGTCCTCGTTTGTTCGGTCTGGAACAAAACGCACGCCAGGAGCCCGCCATCGTGGCGTCTATGGCGCTAGCGGTCACGAGCACGATCATCGCCCTGAAGAAGTCCTTGTGAGGTTCTCCCAGTCGTTGCCGACTCGGAGACAGGATGCCCCGACACCCAACTGAGCTTTGACGTTTGGTTGATTTGGGTTGAAAAAGAAACTGGCTCTTGGACTCGAACCTGGGTGTTTCAATTTGGCTTTATAAGCCAAAGTTCAGTTCGAAATGAGTAGACTTTGATGCATTTGGGGGAATCAGTAGATGTCCATGTCCACTGACTCCCCGGTCAAGAAAACAGTGGCACGGTAGGGTCAAACACGAGCGGAATTGCGAGCGTGACCCCTCAGGATTCTGAGGGGAGCAAAAAAACAGAAACTGGGGAATTTGCCCAGTCTCCGTGTCTTAGTTGGCCCCTTTCACAGGGAAACGTAACCCCAAAGGCCGACTAGAAACACAGAATCGGGGAGAGGGGGAGGGGGGATGTGAAAACCGGAGACGAACCAATAGGTCCCCGATCATTGATCAACGGCTGCATAGAGGGATTGCCGTTTGACCCGTGCGAAATATAGCGGAACTTTTTCAAGGATGTCTACTTACTTTGTGAGTTCACTTTCAAGCGAAGCCCAAAGGAAAGCAACCATTTGCTGCGTTGGCCAGGTTTCCCTTAATTACTGGAAACCCAATCGGGGGGTCATGACCCATTTCTCATTCCCTGCATCTCTGGAACCGATCGCAAGCTCCTTGGCAGGTCGAGGCATCCGGTTTTAACCAAAAAGTCGCGGTGTGCATACGCCGAGTTTGAAGCCTGCGGGCGAGCTTCCACTCCTCACTTGAAATGAAGCAACAAATACGCTATCCTTTTTGCCCGCTGGGCAGCTGGATAGATCGAATCCCAAAAGTCCCGCCCCTCCCTCTGTGGGGGCCAGGATCTTACCCAACTTTTTCTTTAAAGATATGGCAGCCCAGAAGGGCGCCAACGGTCAAAGTCTGCGCATTTCTCCGGGTACCTTAGAGCGGCAAGGGGGAGGATCGTGACAAAAGCTGGGTTTGTAGCAAAACAGTTTTTTTTCCCGAATATCCGGTTTCCTTTCAACTTTTCTTTGAAACCATCCAAACAGGAATCTCCAATTTTGAAGGATCGCCATTTATTGGTTGGGAAACTCCTTGAAACCACCCATGAGGCTTGGAGTGCCCGTGGGTCCAGGATTGCCTTACGGTGTCAATTCCTTGGTGTTTTCATTTGATTTCTTTGGGTCAGTGGGACCCCCCTTCAAGCCACAGTCAGTCGCTTTAATGGACCCGAGTCTCTGCTAGAGTGTGAGTCTCTGCAGAAAATTCTTAGGGCACGAGGGCGTTCAGTTCCAGGGCCGGAACGCCGAATCCAGACAAACCAGCTGATGAAATCCGCTCCGTGAACAGGTGTGTGGTTTTTTAGGCACGTTGGCCCTGAGAGGCTTGGAATTTAGCCCGGAAACCAGGCTGAAAGAGTCTTGTGACGCCGCGCCGCTGTGCCCGCGTCATCCAAGTTGCACTTTGCTCCTGCATGTTTTACTGTTTCAAGCGGCGGTCTCCCAGACAGACGGGACCCAAATTCGACGCCGCAGGCGCGGCAACTGTTGAACGGCGCTCCGTCTCTCCAACCGTTTCCAGACACCGCCTACCCGGATAGGGCAAAAGGGCACGCTGAGTTGACAGAGGTAAGTTGAACAAAGAGCTTATTTCCCGCGTCCATGGTTGACATGGCAGGCTACCATGTGCCGTATTCCGGGAATCCACTGAATCCACCACATAGGATGCCTGACATCCGCCACAGGAACTACTTTTTTTGTTTTTCTTCGATGGTCGACACGATCTGCCATGCTCAAAACTCCTCAACAAAGCGGCTGGAGAAACAAGCCTTGCTCAGTCGCACCTCCCAGCTCCCAGCTCCCAGCTGTGTGTGGGTTTCGCAAATCCGGGGGCCACTCAGTTTTCTATCACTGGACAGATTTTCTCATTTTCTCCAGGGGGCTTAAGCAAACGGACTCCTTGCCGCTTGGTGCACTGGAGCCTAAACTTTGACCTTCGGGGGCTCAAAGGTTTGGCTCAGTTTCCACAGATCCAATCTGTTTGTTTCATCTAAGGAGAAGATCATGGTTGTTGTTTTTTCCCCAGCCCCCTCCGATTTAACACCCTAGTTTGGAGAATGTATTTGTTTTTTTCCCCCAGCCCCACCCCCTTCTTTCCCCCCTTTATACACCAGACTGGTCCGAGAGTACGGGGCTTGAGGTGCTTGGAAACATCGCCATCTCTGCGTCGCATTGGCGCCTGGCGATCCGAAACCTGCAGGACCGAACCGCTTCCCCGCCCTCGGCTTTCGTCAGTGCCCGTTTCATCCCGTTTCTTTTTTGGGGGGAAGGCCCGGCCTATTAGGTCAGTGCCCTTTCTCACCGTTTCTTTCTTGGGGGAGGGCAAGCCCCTAAAATAGACAGAAACAAGTTGGTACCTTGATTCTAAGCTCTCTGGAGGACCTAGATGATTGCGGCCCTTGTCTTGGTATCCTCGGTGCTTTGGCTTGGCCAGTTCTAAACGAACCCACGTGGGCGGGTCGCTGAATTGAAGGAAGGAATTCGGAAGCCACCCAATTGGCGGTCGGCGATCCATTTTGAGCCAAACCGTTTTCTCGTTGCAGTGTGTTTCGCATCCTGATCAAGATATATTTTCCGTTTCCTCTCAGCAAGCCTGCTTGGGTTTCAAGCAACAGGACTAAAAGAAGTTACGCTGAATGGGGTCAGTTACTTCCCTGCATCCTTGGGTTTGTTTATTTTGGCTGGTGTTTCGTGCGGGCTTCACATGTTCAATAGCTGTCCATGTAGATGATTGAATGATCCTCGTTTTGTCCAACCTTCGGAGGCTCGCTCGATTTTGAGACAGAACGCAACCATGTCGCGGTGCCTAGCAGGATATATTCTGATCTTTTAGAGTTTTAGAGTGGCGTTCGAAAAACCAGCACCACCCTAAAGCCACCCTAAACCCACCTTAAACCAACCCTAAACCGACCCTAAACCGACCCTAAACCGACCCTGACGAGCAGCCTCTTCTTTGAAATCCTCTGCATTTTGTTGGGGATTTGGCTTCTGGAGCAGTTGATGGCAACTAATGGGTTTATCTCCAAATCAGGAAACCCCAAAATTGGTGGCCCCTGTCCTTTGGCTTCCCTCTCAAATCCCAGGAAGGATTCCCTCAAGAAATACACACCCATATCAGCCTGAAGGACGTCAGAGGAATCTCCTTTGAATCCATTGCCCCACCCTCGGGTTTTATCTCAAACTGATGAACCATGACCCCCCCCAACATGGGCAGTTTGAGGCAGAGGAGAAGTCCCTGATCGGCTTCAGCTCTGCCATCTCGGCGTGTAAGACAGGCCGCTGGGCGTCCACAAACCGGCGTTGCACTCCGCGGGTCTTTTGGTTTCAGAATAGGAGTGCCGGTTCCCTAGCAGGTCATGGGTTGAGCTGTCCCAGAAGGTGGGCAAGTCTTTCTGGCTTCGAACTTTTGTGTTTTTTGGAGGGTCTACCCTTTTTGCGGGATCCCCCGATTTTGACACCCGTACTGTGGATGGACCAAATCCGCCAGCCGCTTGGACTTTTTGTTAATTAGTTGTTGTTGTTTTTTTCCCCGACTATTCAATCGTGTTTTGTTCATTCCAACTAGCGCGAAGTGGATTTTGTCCACAGCAGGGATCCTTCTGTTTGCATCTTAGTGAGTTAAAATCCACCTGCGTCATTAGTGAGCATTCCTTTGGAGATGATGCTAGGGATGCAAGTGACCCTGAGCAAGCAGATGGACCTTTTGGCCTCTTCGTTCCCTGGTTGGCCATGGTCCCAGTGGGCGTGTTTCCGATTGGGTCGTCTTAAGGGCGCCAAAAGGACACCCCCCCATCGGTTGTCCTTTCCCAACTCTTGCTGCAAGGAAACAAGAATCGGTTCAGGGCGCACAGAGCGCATGACTCACAAGTGGGTCCTTGCTTGACACAACTTGGCATGTCAAGGTTCACCAAGTATAAACTAGAAGCAAACTAAATGAGATTCGGACAACATCATCTTTTGTAGTCTACAGACATTTTGGGAGGAAATGGGGGACTCACAGCCGCAAAACTACTTTGTCCATTGCATTTCTGCACTGAGGTGGAATCCTCATCACCAACTCCAAATTTGTTTCAGCGGGTCCGGCGTCCGACAGCAATCAAAGCAGAAAACCTGTTGAAGCCCTCTGGAAGATGGGCCAAACCACAAATCCTGAAGTGAATGCTGTCCACAAGTATCATCTCCAACCTTCCTATGTGTTCCAGAAGAAAAGATACCCTTTGGATTGCCAAGAAAGGAGAACCGCCAACAACGTCCCTTTGAGGCTACCCTCATTTGGCGGCCTATGCCGTGCATGAAGGTGGCAGGCACCGCCTTGAACCCACGGCGCAACGCCCTTCTGAGCTCTGCAAGGGCCGCCACACAGCCCTGGTGCTTATCATGGGCCTTGTTATAAATCTACAGGTGTTGGTATGAATACTGCTTATATATTTATATTTTATTTCAAAACTTGGCCTCTTTATTTGGGTGTTTCTGTTATTCTAACGGAGCCCGCCAGGGCCACGAAACAAGTTGTGTTGTGGCCAGCGAAGGGAACCATGTAAATATATGGCTGTTGTAACATTATCCTTGCCAGAGCTGCCAAAGAATGGTTTTCCAGCATTTTGCACTGGCACTTTTTTTGAACATGAACTGGACCTAATTTAGGTCCAAATTGCAACTAAAGGTTGCACAACCTGCCTTGAGTGAGGCAAGTCAGTGGCGATTCACATTTGCAGCTTGAGTGCTCATATCTGGGACAGATGAGACAGGTGACAAGGCTTGTTCAGAGCAGCTTCCATTCTGGACACAGCTTGGCCCCCTCATGTTGAACAGCCACGGCAGGCAGTGACAGTCAATATGTCAACACTGATACTGATACCATAAACCCCCGCCATGATTTAGAAACAGGCAAGCGAAAGCTAGGGGGTCGCGTGTCATGGCGGATGATGGAGAAGTTGGCGGAGGAAAGCTGCTCACTGTGTTTCCAAAAGCGTGGGTACCACGGCCACTCGACTTGACAAGTGCAGCTGTGGGTACGGAAGGGGTGCTTGTCAGAAAGTGAAGTTTCAGATGAGTTTGACATGAGTCCATGAGCAACTGGAGTCAGTGCAGCGCCAGCATGTTTGCATCTCACGCAACTCGCAACATCTCAGCCAGTCTGACAAGGTACCTGGAGCGCGCTGGCGTGGATCGGGCCCACTGCCAGCAGACTGGTCCGTTTCTTGGATTATTCAGATTATTCATCATTGAAGGGCCCGGGGAGTTAGGTTTATTTTCAGCTTCAGCTTCACCCATTGTCCAACTTTTCGGGTCACACGGCAACTTGCTCTTGTTTCTTCGACTGAGTTGTTTTTCAAGGTGGGAGTGGGGAGCAACTGCTCAGACGTCAGAGTTGCCAAGCAAGCTAGCTTGTAAACGGACACTGAGGCTCATGAGGCCTGAGAAGCACCTCATTTGAGACATGATGAAACATGTGGTTTGCTGGATTCTTTCAGGCAGGCTTGGTTTGAGATTTGTACGCGGCGCCCAATCATGCTCAAGTGACCCCTCAGTTGCTTGCCTGGGCTGGGCGCAACATGGCCAGTGGATCTGGCAGAGGCTCAGGTGACCCTGGCAGAGGCTCGGGTGACCCTGGTGCAAACTTGCCCGTGCAGCAGGCGTTGCAGAACAGGACCGAGCAGTTCGCGCAGGGCAAGAACACGTTCGTGCCAGACCTTCGCCAGCTCGTGGCACAAGTTCTGGTGGCAGAGCCCATCATGATGCGACAGGTGGCAGCTGCGGCGAAGTTTGCCACGCTGGTGGAGGCGGTTCTCAGCTCCATGTGGCGCTTGATGACGTTCATGCCCGAGGCTCTGGACAAGTTCAACGAAGAGCTGGCACAGGCCCAGCATCTGGCGCAGCAGTGGATCCACAACTTGGTGGCGAAGGATCAGGGCTGGGCAGTCACACCTCCCGAGGTCAATCTCGAAGAGGCCGCAGCTGGCAAGGGCAGGCCAAAGCGAAAGCGCTCAGAGATGGCAGGGCCGGCTGACAAAATCGGCATGATGCTACGGGAGACACGGAACATCATCACAGTGTGCATGGATGTGAAAGATCAGGACAGCCAGATGGACCCCGTGCTGGAGCACATGAAGTTGAACCGGCTGAGCCTTTGCCTGGCAGCGCTCTTCTTCAACCTGAGCTGTTTGCTGAAGGCTCTTCCCAGTGAGGGTTGCTGGCGCACGGGCTGCGAATGGAAACAAGGCCTAAAAGAGGCCATGCACGAGGTTGAGGATTACACATCAGCCAGGTAGGCAGATAGGAGGGCTTCGAGTTTTGCAGGCGGTTGCCCAGGCAGGCATCGGCATCGGCATCAGTGAGAGTTTTGCAACAAGGCAATTGGTCATGGGGGCATGCGGCATGGGCCATGGGCAAGTGCTTTCCACTGACGTAGCAACGGGGTGACAATTGCTGCAGCGCACCGTAGCTGGCATCAATGACAATGACTCTGGACTCTGAACCTAACTCAAAAATCAATCAATCTTTCAGGTCGACCATCCGTTGAATGTTGAAATGAACGCTCAACACAGCTCCATTGTTTTGGCAGCCGGCGCCCCGCGGCAGTGTCACTCATTCCCAAGAGAGGAATGCTAGAATGCTCTAGGCTGGTGGCCAGGTCAGGTCATTTGTAGTTAGGTCTGAGTTGCCCGGTTTGAGAAGCAAGAGCGATAGAGCGGCTTGATGATCGATGAATTTATGCGTTGATGAGGGTCAGTTTGAGCAAGCGTGTGCCGGGATAATGTGCAATCTGAGGCTTCGCGTGTGGAGCGCCTGCGAGGGAGCAGGGACCACAGCCTACATCATGCATCTTGGCCGACATTATTGCAAGGCTACAGCGCCAGTCATTGCGGGTTTGGGTGGCTGGGTTGCAAGTTCGTAGATTGTTTGTGTTTTGGATGATTTCAGCTTGGGTGGGTAAGCAACATGGGTGGCCACGGTGGGAGGGCCGCGATTGGGCGCCAGCATGGGTGTTGCATTTGAATTTGAAGTAGTTGAAGTAGTCGTCAATGTTCAGTCTGATGTTTGCAAGTTTTGTTTTGTCTATGGGCCGCGGCCCATTCGCTTTCCAGGGGCGCAATTTTTCGATTTTTAGTCTTTGGCAGTGCCTTCAACATCGTTATAGCACTACAGCACTGCCTGCTAAGAAGCCTAGGAAGCACATCGGGGAGCACTTGCAGCTCAAGGTTGAGCTGCTTTTCTCGAGCGAGATTGACGAGAAGTCTCGGGAATGGTGCCTTCGGCATGGCGAGTGTGCCTTGGTTTGCATGTTCGGCAGGTGGTCGCATGAGCGAGTTGACAGAGTCAGTAGTAGTAGTAGTAGTAGTAGTAGTAGTAGTAGTAGTAGTTGTTGTTGTTGTTGTTGTTGTTGTTGTAATAGTCATGGAGTCATGGTCCATGGTCATGGTAGCAACATATCAGTCATTCAGAGCCGGGTCAGAAAGATAAGGGCGGAAAAGGGTGCCAGGCAGTAAACTTGCAAAAAATGTTTGATGAGGACTGCTTTTGCAGCAAGCTGATCACTGATACAGTACCGATACTATCTGCCAGAGGCCACGTATTCAGTCTATCATCATAGAATCATAGAATGATAGTCATTGGCAATGGAGTCATCATTGGTTGTGAGTCATGTCAGGCATTTGCGAAAGTTGAAAGCGTGCGTTGCGGTGTCATGAGAGGGAACCACTTCTTCGCGGACGTTGCTGGCAATGAGACAGGGCACTGCTTCACCTGCGACGGCCGTCATGATGACAAAGAAGGAACGGATGACACTTGCCGTGTGGGTAGGGCAAATTCCCCCTAGCCACTAAGAGGTGGAATTGGTGCTTCACTCAGTGTTAGCTTGGGTAGATTCCGACATGTTTCGCTTTGCGGTTGCAAACCATGCGTGTGGCCAGTTGCAGTAGCATTGAGCATTGATGTTCTGAATTCCGATTCACTTGCATGATGCCTCATTGACTCATTGCTGTCAACTCAGTGGCTCACCAACGAGTGAAATGTGACAAGTGCTAAACTTCGAACTACCGTGTATGGACTATGGACAAACTCTCTGGAATGGCACGGTTTGTGTTTGTTTGCTTCGCAGCCAATCCTGGGCCCTTTCAACAGCCAAGGACCTCTTTAACAACGCCGAACTAGCCCTGCTTGGCGTGCCGTGCCCTCTCTATTCGTCCCTCAACCACCGCACGAAGAAGGAGTTCTACAACCCATTTGTTGAGACACTTGGTCTTGCAGTGCTGCGCAGACAGTTTGGTCAGGA